CCCCCCCCCCCCCCCCAGCCCCCCGTGCCGCCGCCGCCGGCGTCGCATTAAAAGCCCATCCGGTGCCAGGACCGAACAAAGCGCCGGCGGCGCCCCTCGGTCGGCGAAGCGGTCGGGTCCTCCGGGGCAAGCATGCCGCCAAGGGCCCCGGGGAAGGGGCACTGGTCGTCTTCATCCTCATCCTCGTCGTCGTCCTCCTCGCCAAACGCCCCGCCGGCGTCGCCCCCCGCCCCCAGGAGTGATGGGTGATCGAGGGCCGCGGCTTCGGCCACGGTGGCTGGCCGAAGGAAAGCCAGGTCCCCGGTCAGGGGCGCCTCGGGGTCCGACTCCTCTGCCTCCTCGCTGGGAGTCCGGGGGCGACTGCGTGGTGGCTGTCCCTCGGGGCCCGGTCCCGGGACCAAGCCCCGGAGGAACATGCCTGGCGGCGACGGTGGCGGCCCGGCCGGGGGGCTATCCTGCCCGGGGGGCGAGCTTCGGGCCAGCGCACCGCTGGAGGTGGCCCGCCGGACTCGAGCCCCGGGGGCCGCGACTGGGCGTGCGCCGCCCGGGTGCACGGCCAAATCCACCGAGCGCGAAGTGCGCAGTGGCCGGAGGAGATCCACCTCGCCCGGGGCCGCCGCCTGCATTGGGGACCGCTGCAGGGCCGGGGCCCCGGCATCCACCACCTGGGCCTTCCAGTTGGGTCGGGCCTCGGTATGCAAGCTGCCCGAGTAGTCCTTCGAGTGGAGGGGGCTCCTGTCAACCAGGGTGCTCATGCGATGGGCCATGCGCCGGGTCGAGCTCCCGGACCCGGCCAGGCCCGGGCTGGCCGCCGGAGTCGAGGCACAACTCCCCTCCGTCGATGTGGCCCACGCCGAGGTCGAGGCCGACGGTGTGTAGCCCGGGCCCCGGGCCCCGGCCTGCGACGGGTGACTGGCCAGGAAGTCGATGCTCGGCCCGCCGATGTATGTCACGCTCGGGTATCGCGGCGTGCCCCAGTGCAGTGACTGGCAGCCCGGGCAGTCGGCCGCCTCGAAGCCGGTGTGGTAATAGGGCTCGCGTCGGGCCCGGGGCCCGGTCTCGGGCCGGGGGGAGCTGCGTCCCGGGCGGCGCCCCGCCCGGCCGGCCCGGTGCCGGGGTCCGCCGCCTTCGGCGCGGCACCCGGCGCACACCGGGTCAGGCAGGCTGTCGCAGTACACGCGGATCATGCGCTCGCGTGTGAGCCACCGCCGCTGGGCCACCGTGGCCGGCTCCAACTCGCCGCCCATTGGCAGGGCCTCCGGCGCGGACAGTTCCTCCGCCAGCCCCGCGCCCCCGGTGCTGCTGATGCTGCTGATGCTGCCACTACTGCTGGTGCTCATGGCGGCCAGGTCGCCTTCGGAGGCGAAAACCGGGTCCAACGAATGCTCCGGCGGGTAGGGTCGAGTCGACGCTGGCCGGGTGACCGTGTCCAGGCCGCGCGTCCTGCCGGCCACTGGCGGGGCGTGCGCACACACACACACACACACACACACACACGGCCGGTCGTTGGGGTGAGACATTGCTCGGGGCACGGCGCGGGCGGCTTGAAGAAAGGCTGCAGCCGTCCCCGGCGCGAACCGGGGCCAAGCATGCGACGTACCGGTGAACCGTTGGCCGTGCGTACCAAAGAGCACACTGAAAAAGGGCCGCCGTCTGGCGGCCCGGGGAGCCTGCAAGGCGAACACATTTCGCGGCGCGGGCGCTCGCCCCGGGACAAGTCCCTCCGACTGCGCGGCCCCATTGGCCGGGTGATCGGCACTGCCGCCTGTGCCTGGCACCGCCGGCAGCAGCAACACATCGGCCGGCTCGGCGGCCGGCGCATGGTCGCGACGCCAGCGGCCGCCCCGGCCCGGCTGCCGGCGCTTGGCTTTCCCCTCGGTCCCCGGGGCTGTCGGTCCCGTGGCAGGCCCGCCGGCCGGGACGGTGGTCCCCTCGGCCAGGAGCTCCCATGCCAGCTGGTGCTGGCTGGCCCCGGGCGGGGGCACCGGCGGCGCCGGCAGCGGCGGGCCGTCATCGCTCTCAAGCGCCGGCCCGGCTTCGGCCGAGGCCGACAAAAAGTGTCGCATCATGGTGTCGGCCCCGCTGACCAGGCAGCGCTGCTCCGCCGGGTTGAGGGTCGTCAGGAAGATGGGGGCCGAGTGGCCCTGGTATCGGCGCGCAAAGCGCCCCACCGAGCCGGTGTACGTCCGGATGAGCACCCGCTTCAGGGCGTCCGTCAGCGGGGCCAGCCCATGCCCGGTGCCCTCCTTCAGGTACTGTCGGGCCTCCATCTGGAAGAGGTACCTCTGCAGGCGCATCGACAGCCGGTGGCCCCACGTCGAGGAGTGCGGGTCCGTCGTGTGCCACCACATCAGGCTCAAGGTGCTCTGTGCTTTGGGGGGTCAGGAATCTGCGAGCGGCCTCCCCCCCCCCCCCCCACTTCCCCATGCCTCGGCTTGGAAAGAGGCACCAGCCTCGGCGGCCACCCGCGCCCCTCCTCCGCCCCCTATGGCACGTACGAGACCCAGTTGCTCCAGCACCGCCTCGATCATCTGGCTGTCCGAGGCGATGATCGGCCGGCAGAGGTACCCCGTGGCATCGAGATCCAGCTCGATGCGGAACTCCGTCTCCTCGTCACCCAGCTCGGGCTGCGCCTCCAGCGGCGCAAGTTGCAGATCGCCCAGCTCCCCAGCGGCGATGGCGGCCGCGCGGTGGGGCATGCTTTCCAGGAGACAAGCGGTCAGAGGAGAGGGCAAAGGGAGCGCGAGAGGGGGGGGGGGCGGGCGAGAGAGAGAGAGTGAGAGGGAGAGACACATGTAGAGGGGGGGGGCTGTGCTTCGGCATTTCCTGCTCCGTGCCACGGTGGGCCCTCATTGGGGTTGTCCGCATACCGGCCCGTTTGCTCGGCTCGCCGGCAGGTGCCTGGGGACCATGCGTGCTTTTGCGGGCCCTCCGGCCACCGAGCACATTGTGGTGTAAGATGTGCCGTGTCAAAAGCCCACAATCTCAAACGTCACGCACGATGACACGTGTTCATTCTCGGATCATGACCGCCCTGCCCGAGACGCAAAGCCCGGACCAGTGTCCGCGACGAACCACGCCCACCCTTGCCGTTTTGGTGCCGGTGGCGACGGCGGCATTCATGACACACGCGCCTCCATCACATTCTGTCTTCCTCCTTCACAGGCAGGCGGGCACATGAGGGGAACCAAGCGCAGGGGCATGGCAACTCGTGCAGTTCCATGGTCGGGGAGCCGCTTCCCAGGATACAGCTCCCCTCCCGGGGTCTCTTCCCCCCCCCCCCCCTCCCCCCTTGGGCCTTCATCTGCCTGGCCCAGTCTCACGGAGGACACGGAAGTAGGTGTATTTCACGGTGCGGCGGCCGCATCCCGGCGGCGCACAGTCGCGGTCACAGCCTCGGCATCAGGACACCGTGGCAGGTGCGAGAGGCTGTGCTTTCAATGCTTGGCGGCCGGCTGGGGGCCGCCATATGCGGAGGGGACCTGCGACTGGTGCTGGTGCTGGGTATGCTGTGGCTGGTGCGGATGCGGGTGATGGTGATGGTAGTGGGCCGGCGCGTGTGCCGGATACTGCCCGGCGGCCTGCTGGGCATACGGGTGTGTCTGCATGCCGGCGGCCGATGAGCGGCCCCCGCCGCCGCCACCGCCGGCCAGGGCCGGTGAGGTGAGCGGCGACCCCGCGGCCGAGCCCGGGCCCGAGGGGGCCGGCACATCGGCAAGCGGAGCCGGGGGGATGTGCGCGGCGCCGGGGTCCGCTCGGGCCGGCCGCTGAAGGCAGTTGCCCACCGGCGACCCGGACGCACCATACTCCAGGGGAAGATGCCGCGCGCCGAAATACTCCAGGCTGAAGCCGGAATTCGGGAACATCAGCGGCCGCCATTGGGGCGAGTCGCGCCAGTGCTGGTACCGCTCCAGGGAAATGAGCGCCAGCGAGTCGCCCAGGTCCGCCGGTGACAGAGGGACCTCCGAGGCACCGGCCCCGCCGACCGAGGCGCCCCGGTGAATGGCACTACTGCTGCCGCTGCTGCCGCTGTTGGCGGCGGTGGTGGTGGTGGCGGCGACGCCAGGGCTCCCGCCGCGCGAGCCGCCCGCGCTCCGAGGCAGGGAGGAATTCTGCGGGCTCAGGATGTCCGGCGGCAGGGCCCCATTGAGCAGGCGCTCCGATGGCAGGGCCGCCGATTCGAAGACCGCCTCCGGCATCAGGTAGCACGACACCAGCGACCACCAGGGGGAGAAAGACTCCGGCCCGGCGGTGGTCATCGAGGGGTTGCCACTGACCGCGGCGAAGTTCGGGTCCGACACAAGCCCCGCGATGAAGGAGGCCAGCTCCGGGAACATGCCTTCCGAAGACCCGGCCAGGCGGTTCATCATCACCCGCGGGTCCAGCAGCCA